TAATTAATTTCTTATATATTACAAACCATTGCATCATATTGTAACACAAATTACGAAATCCCAATTAAATCGTCTATTCAAATAACACAACCATACTCTCAAACTTTGTACAATCTTCAAATCAACCAATCCCCTCAAATCTATTCAAATATCAAATGGAGGCAAAAACACACATAACACCCACCCCGTATATCCTCAAACAGAAGAATTCCATGTCACAAACATTTTATAGAAACACGCCATTCCGTCTTATCTTTCTCAATTACCAGAACACGCATACATACACACACACATACACACCGCACCCCTTCCAAATCTCTCACACCCCTAACATCCAGCAAAAGACGGTAAATCTCCCGATATAAAATCAGACAGCTACTCACTCAACGTTTTATTGATCCAATCGGCCAGGTCCTCCTGCAACGGCAGCAACTGTCTGCTCTGTGCCGAGTGCAGACGCTCGTGATAGAACTCGGCGTACTCTTCCTCTTCCGGCGAGGGCCTGGGCACATCGGCTCGATTGAACACGGTGACCGAGGAGGGTCCCCAGCTGCTTCGATAACGGTTGTGCTGCGAAGACGGGAATCGATTGGCGTACGACATCCTGAGGAAGGAAAGGATGATTGGTCCCGGTGGCCAGCACCGGCGCCCCACTTCCTCTCGTCGATCCTCCACCAGATCCTCCTTTTATCGCCTTCGTGTGTTCCTCTTCTTCTTTCTTCTCTTTTCCTTTTTCTTTTTGCGCCGCAGATTCCTCGACTACCACTGAAGAGCCCCGGCGACGCCGTGCGATCCGGCACGTCTGTCGATTACGCGAGCCTGAAAAGCAACAAAATCCTCTCTTGGTCTTGCGTCTTATCGTGTCTCTCGTCTTAATGTGGCCTCCGCTGGATCGTAATCCTTTTACGAGGCAAACGATCTTGACGAGACCGTGAAAGACTTTCCGGATGTAAAACGAGGGATGAGATAAGGGTAAGGGATGAAAAGTCGGTTGTTGATTTAAAGAATTCTTCGATGCGATACGAGAGGTCGATGTCGAGACGATTATAGGAGCAGATTGCACGAAATTTAAACGAAATCGGCGGAATTCCCTTTGAGTCTCTCTCTTGCAAGAGATCGTACGCTGTGTAATAAGGTCCACTTTCTCTTTTAATCATAAAGAATAATAGGGAACGTATGCCAAATAAGGCACGTGGAGTTAAAGGGTTAAAGCGAGATTTACGTGTATCACGATGTTTATTCGTATCATTATATAACGTATCTTTTATATGTAAAAGATTGGAATAATTGTTTTATTTTATAAGGAAAAAAAAATATTGAAAAAGTGATTTTTCCTCGAATCAAAAAGTATTCGAAATATGAAAAAGATTATTATGACGCTGCTATTAAATCATTAAGTATATATCGTCAAAAAGTTTAAAACAATTTGCGAGTATGGAATCAAACTATTTTCGCATATTATAGCGGGTTTAATATGGTATAAATTATGGGAGGGATTAAAACGATACAGGAACGATGCCGGAAGACGCGTGTACTTACACGAACAGTAACCATAAACGGGATAAGAGATGCTGGTCGAGAGATTTCCGACACGAATGACTGGCAGCAAGGAAAACGAGCCTCGAGTGGCGTTTTCGGGAATGAATGGATTTTATGTTAGAAGCTGTTTATAGGATCCAGCCAGACAATGTTTCATAATAACCTTGAAGGGGATGAGACTGCAGCTTCTCGATTTAATAATGCGATGCTGCGGGTTCGATAAATAGCGTGGATTTACGATTGTACAAAATGTCTCACTTACAATATATATCTGATATTATTACTTATCCTTTAAAGAAAAAATTTAAAAAAAATACTCAATATTTGAATCCAAAATATAAAAGTTATAGCCAAATAATCATTATTTTATTTTTAATATTATTCAATTAAAAATATCATTGCCAAAAATAATAGGCAGGCAGACAAGTAAAAATTTCGTGCAAAATATTTAACAATCGAAACGTTAAAAATAGTGACCGTAATTGTTAGATCGCGATTCGAGGAGTGGACATAAATTTCCACAAGGCTCGTGTTCTTCCACTGTCCACAAACGCCTCTGTATTTAAACGACATTTGCCGCTATTAACATTCATCGGCAGCCCCCAAGGAACGCGAGAGAGACGTCTTACGCAGAAGCATCGCGATTTTGCTGAATCCGCGTGGGATTCGAACGATCGGCCATAGAAAAATGCAAGAATAAAAAAAGATCGAACTAAAAAGAAAGAGAGAAAAAGAGAGAGAGAGAGAGAGAGAGAAATAAAGCTAAATCTTCATAAATCCTTTCGATTTTCCACGGAGGACACTGTCGCCTCTTGATGACGCAAATGCAACAAACATGGTCTGATGCAAGCGTGCAATAGAGGTTAGCGGATACATACGAATCGATGAAATGAAAATCCGAATAATAGTCTGGCGATCGACAAGCGTACAAACCTACGTGTGTCCTTCGACATCGATCTATTAACGCTCTGTCGTTGGCTGTTCGACGTAATGCAATCCGTTGTAAACAGGTGACGACTCGACCGCGTGTCCAGGTAACATTATTCGTTTCTTTTACACATTTCTTTTCCACTTTTGCGTGGATATACGTGATTCGTTAACGCAATTGCGGACGGGTCACGTGGTGTCGCGTGTGTCGCTTCTGGTATTTGGAAAAGCGAGAATTGTAAATGACGAGTGCGATATCGAGTAGAATTTGTAAACACGTCGACTTGTTTTATTGCGAAAAAATTAATATTTCTTTTTTTTATTTTATATAAATAATTAATCTTGCATCGAATATATATATATTATTATCAATGATAATAACGTTGAATAAATCTAGAGAATTGAATTTTGTTATAAAGTTACGTTTATTAATTATTCACGAATTATTAATTATTCTTTCAATATTGAACGATTAAGTTTCACCTTGCATTTATCAATAACAGCAATTCAATGTTGCAGTTCGAAATGATCGAAACAAGGTGAGCAACTTTTTCACAGAAACAAACCACGGAAATCCCCACAAAAATATCGAATTTAAGATGACAGTGGAACATCGATTATTCGGATAAACTGGGGTCGTTTCGATGAATCGATGATAAACCCCGATAATAAAATTTATTGATAACCTAGACAAAAATGTACAGATAAAAGTGATAGTGAAATTTACACAATTTCAAAAAAAAATTATTCGTATTTCATTTATAAAAAAATGAAAAACGTTAATCTTTCTCGATACGTCTATATATTATCAACGGTTTAACATTTGGGAAATTAATATTCCTACGAATCACGAAGTAAATGAGAAATCTAAACGATATTGATACTTCCATATAAAATACGTTTTAATGCACTTATTTTATGGACAGAGAGAATTCTTAATTATTATCGAGTTCTCTCATAGGTGACACGAGAACGTGGGCGGCAGATATCAGCTCGAGTCTCGTGATAGAGTTGTTCGTAAATCAAGCAGCTGGTGATCGATTATTACCGGCGACAGCTGGCCAATTAATAGCGTTTTCGCGTTATCGTGACAAATGGAGCAGAAAAGCGAACATGTCGGCTTCAAGGTAAGTCGATGCAACAGGAATCGAATCGAGTTCGCTGTATTTACTTTGCCTCTTAATTTATGCGTACATCCGCCATGTCGGTGTTCTTCTTTTAGAAGAAAATTCCATAGAGAATAACGCGGGAGAAATTGGAAATCGGAAATCCGTCCTTTTACATCGTATAAATTGGACGATAAGTATATTGTTTATAATATTTCGTGAGTTTTTCATATTACGATTGGATTAATCGGGCAAGATAATTTTTTTGCTTGAAAATATTTTAAAATTATTTATCTAGCAAATCGAACAAATTTATTAACAAATATGTTAAATTTTTAAGTATTTGAATGGATAACATTTATTAATTTTTGAGAAATTGTAAAGTTAAGAAAATATATAAAATAGATGGATTCTTTATGAGAATTGTATGAATTGCATGATATTGCAACTGATCTTGATAATAGTCTAATTTTCAGATAGAAGTAATCTATGTTCAAACTCCATTTGAAGGTTATTCTACTAATTATACCATATAACGTAAATTTTCATGATTATCAGTCAGCTGATAACGCGTAACAAACAACTACCAGGCAATGAATAATTTTAAAAATCCAACTTTTGTACAGAATTATATATTCCATAAACATTTATGAACAAAAATAATAAGAATTTAGTACATATTCACGAATAAATAATTAAAATCTAATATTTCCAGAATTGATATCGACCAACGAAAAAAAAGAAACTTCCAATCTGATCCCATATCTCTTACACTTTCTCAAACTTTTCCAACTTCCCGAACGACTCGATCGCCAATGTATCCACAATCCCCTCAAACCCAACAACAAATATAATTCACAACCATCTTTATACCTCTTTAATCACCGTGAGACAGGAACTCTATCCACCACATATTCTTTTACCCGATCCGTTCCAACATGCACTCACGTCCTACGATCGAGCAGCACCCATGCCACATCACGACGGGGCATCCGTCGATTCCCAAGTTCAATCAAAGGAATAACCACGAAACGATCGAATGCCCGTAAAACGATTTCGTTCTTGCGACGTGGCCAATCAATTTGGCACGGGACACGCGTGATCCTCGTCCACAGAATGACACAAAGCTGAACGATTCGCGGCAACGAAACGTATGTTTACAGCCTCCGTGTTCCGAGGGATAATCGTCGAACACTGTCGAACATCGCGAGACGACAGCACCCACGCTAGTAAATTATGCCGATTTTAATTAAAGACTTAACGCGCACGGAACCGCGATGAATTGGAAACGCGGCTTATTGTTGTAGTAACGTCGACTAACGTCTCTCTTGCAATTAAATTTTCGAATGTGTCACTTTTCGCTACTCGACTTTTTTGTTTTGAGAAAATTATTATAGACAATCACTTTCAAATGAAATTCTTCTTCTTTTCGAAAAATATATATTTTTAGGGGAAATTCTCGAGAGTTTTAGTTAAGATGTAATTGTAAGCTCAATGATTGTATTCCTAACCTATAGAGAGAATAATTATTGAGAATTTTTATTTTTAAATATAATTCTGTTATTAAAATAGAATTGTTATTGAGAAACGCGAGAATTTTATTGTATTCTTATATTTGAATTTGTGATGTTAGCTTGCTCATAATATATTTTTTTTTAATATTGAGTTAATATATGATGTATGTGATTATACATAATTATGTGTCTAGATATCAATCTGTTAATTTTAATTTGTTTAATTAATAAAATTATTATTCGCGTAAATTTAAATTCTCGTTGAATTTAAAATTCAAGAAAAATATTCGAAGAACGGATATAGCTTACACAGGATCAAAAGGGAAGATCGTATTAATTGTTTGCTCGTTCATTGTGAGAAAGGGGAAAAATTTCTGCAAACATTCCTCCATTAACATTTCGTTATTTTCTTGGAGCAAATGATGTAACAAAATGGGTAAACGTTACGATGCATCGAAATTCCAGTAAAATTGATTTGGCGAAAGAAATTTATAGAACAATAGTTTTCATTCCTTAGAAAATTACGAATGCATTATTTTATTTGGATATATTCTCACTGTATAAGAGTATTCGTTGTAAAATTTACAATTATTCGAAATATAAAAAAAATACAAAATCTAAATTTATTCTGCAAATGGACCTCATGAATTATAAAATTTCATTAAAAAAAAAATTGTTTTATTCAAATCTCATCTTTAAACTCGTAATTACAACGTGATACACTTTTACAAAC